ATAAATTCCTTAGAGGTAATGCATGTCACCCGTCACTTCAGGCCAGAGCCCTTCTTCTGATGAGAAGTGACAGAGTCAAACGTTGAAAATAACGTCACAAGTGATCTCATTCGACCCTGCATCATCTGTCAGCACTCGGACTGTTTGTTGGGGATGACTCTCAGCTACTACCAGAACAAACTTTACCTCAATACCTGTCAAGTGCAAAGACTTAAAGCCTTTGTTGTATTTGGTAAAGCTGCGGAGGCCATTGTGAATTGAATCGTTACTAAACCTTTCATTACGGTTTGTTTAGTGATTTGTGAGATATTTTGCTAACAGACAAACAAAGCTGACGCCATAGACAACAGGTAATGACCAAGTTTGAAACAAAGATCAGCCACAGAGTATTTCAGCTGAATATCTGTAAAACTGACTGAGTTTGAGACATTTTGTGTTCGCAAACATCAATAAACTGTGAAATAATCTGAAGATGATGAACCAGAAGTTAATCTGTTTGAATTCTATTCTTAGTTTCATTACAACTAATCCATTGGTACAAAGACTTCACCAGCCTTTTATTTGTTAAAAAAGCTTCTGATTAAAGTTTCCTTTTTGTTATTTTGGGTTAAATAAATTAGGGATGTCCCGATTAGATACTCAGTATCGGTATCAGTGGCAGATATGGCCATTTTTTTGAAAACCGGGTAGAATCTGATTTAGTCATGTGATCGGGCCGATCCAGTTTTCACGACAGTTTTCAGCATCATCATGCTTTACAACTGCTGTTACGAAGTCAAGACGCACACAAAGCAACCATGTCCACAGTGTGGGAACACTTTTCAGTGGAAAACAATGATGCTGAAACTGCATCTTTCAAAATCTTCAAACTGGATGTTTCTCATGGTGGGAACAGCAGGGCTCGCTTTAATACTACCAACCTGGTCACTTGGAAAGAAATAAAAAATAAAGGTATTGGATTGGTATCTGAAAGACTAATCATTGAAAAAATCGGATTGTATCGGGAGCCAAAAAATCTGGATCAGGACATCCCTAAAATAAAAACTGATATGGTGTCTCAGGCAGTTTATTGCCATTAAATCTTTAATAGAAACAATGTTTAATAAAGGTAAAAGTGTTTTAAATAATCAGATATTTGATTTCTTTAGTGGCTCAGTAGGGACAATCCAGACATGGTTTTAATGTTTTTTGGGTTTCTTTTACATTTGACCTGTTTTATTCAAACAGCTATGTAAAAAAACAACAAAAAATCTAGTTTTGTTTAACTGAATGTGTTTTTTCCCCAGTATTTTAAATGTTTTCTCAACTTTTCCTCAGTTTCAACTTTTGACACTCATTAAACTGTATTTTTTTTATACTGATAAACTGATCTCCAAAAAGCTGGTAGTTGAAAATCTGGCTCATACCAGACATATCTCTCAGGTTTTTTTGTCAAAGTTTTCTTTTTTTCTTATCTGTATCTTTTCATTTCTTAGTGAGGAATAGGAAGTGGACCACCGTGTCCTTGACCAGGACAACAAGATATTGTCATTCATTTGTTAGACAATGTGTCGCCGTGCTATCAGTCCTTCTCTGTCAGAGAGCCTTGAATTTGATCACATTTCACAAATAGGTTTTTGTTCTGCTTTAATACGCTTCCTAAAACTCTGTGAAAAGTCAGGTTGTCGGTCACCAAAGGAAATAAAATTAAGATGAGGATGTCCTCCTCGTGGCTTGGTTTAACTAAACTGTAGTTTTTCCTCCTGAGTTTAGTTTTCAAACGTCTGCAGTCAGAACACGACATCCAGGGTCGTCTTTCCTTTGTGGAAGAGGAAAAAACTTCTCAACTTCCTGATTTTTTTTCCCCATTTCTTCCTGTTAAAGGCATTTTTAACTCAAGCAGCTGTTTCAACACTGATTGTAAAAACCCCAAGAGGAAATTTATGAGACAAACAACCTAAAAACAAAACTGACTTAAACTCATACACCCATTAAAAAATGTGTTTAACATTGAAGTAGACACAAATGTACTTCAGGCATATTTATTTAAATAAAGAATTTTTGGCAATAACAAATACAGTTAGGTTAATAACTTAAGCAGGTTTATACGAGCAGGTTGGAGACCTTATAGAACAAATGAGAACAAATAAAATCTGCAAAAGCAAGCAAGAGAAACTGAAGCAGTGTTTGTATATCAGACAATTAACAACGTGTTTCAGACGGCGGGATGCTCCACGCGGCACAGAGAGGCTGAAAAAAAATCACTGCAGCAGAGCCACAAACACACTTTTTGTAGTTTTCAGCACAAAATGCTCACGTCGTAGGCTCCGCCCCCCTCCGTGTGTCCAGCCACCGCCGCCTGGCTTCCTTCTGCCTGATGCTACAAAGACAAGGTGAGATGAGGCCCCCCCCCCCCCCCCAGAGCCACCCCTCCCCACTGTCGGGAGACAGGAACTGCCCTGGCCCACACTGTTGCCAGGCAACACGCTCAGATTCCTCCGCTCCGGCACATCGCCGGGCTTCCCAGTGCAGACCTACAAATCACAGAGTCCTCCATTAGCCGAGCTGCCAACAACCGATAACGCCACGAGACCGAACAGAGACGAGACAGCCACAAGCAGGAACATCCCTGGGAAAGATTCAGCTCCTCACTTTGAAAAGGAAACTATAATAATAATAATAATAATAATAATAATAATAATAATAATAATAATAATCGACAGGTCCTGCCTGATTGTGGGGGTTTAATTATTTTATCCCCCTTCTGTATCGTCTCACAGGGGTTCAGTCTAACTGCGCTCAAAGGGGAACATCTATTTTACACAAACTTCATTTAATCTCCTGAGGATGGACTATTGAGTCTAACTGGAACTGCACTGAGTCTACAGCCCTGAGATCACTGGAACACAGACTGGGTTTGTAGTACAGATCATCTCAAAAACAAAGAAGTAACGGCGGGTTCTCAAAAAATATTCTCAAACCACTGCAGTGGGAGTCTCAAATTCTTCCTCTCTCTAAGGGGCCACGGCTGTATAACAGATAGATGCAGTGCAGAAATCTGCTCCCAGCTCTCACTTATTTTATAGGAAATACAAATATATAGTTGTAAGGGAACCTCCTTTGTGATTTTTTTTATGAGTGCATCTCCCAAAACCTTTGCAGCATCAGGAAAGTGGAGTTTTCTTGTCGTGATGTAAAAAGTCCTCAGTGCCAGACAAGTCGTTTGTGTTTGTTAAAGCATGCACTGCGGCTGGTCGTTACAACAAAACACCAAGAAGAGGTGAACACCGGTGCTGTCGCCTCTCCGTTCTGCTGAGTCATTAGAAAATGAAAGACAGGTTTTGACAATTAAAAAAAACAAAGCAAACACAAAAGAGAAGATAATCTGTGTATGGGTCGTTGTTGTTTTTTTCGTTTCAAAATAAAAAGAGAAATAATTAGAAAAAAAGACTATTGCAAAACTAAAAAATTGCAAAATTTTGCAGTAATAGTTAAAGCAAAGACAGGCGTTATATTTTGTTAGTGCACCATTTGGGACTTTCTGGCAGAAATTATGGCCTGAACTCAGAATAAGGTTTGACTGCTGCCATTGCCAATATCTTTAGGAATGGTTTCTATTTTTTTTTATTTTTTGGCAACTTCTATCATTTCCGGAATCACTACATATTAAAACCATTCATTTTATTTTGGATCTAGATAGCTGAAGCTAAACTCAAACACTGAGGAGTTTCAATTAGTTTGATTTTATATTTTTATGTTCTTTTTTTGGGGATTTTATTTTGAAACGGAAAAACCAAAGAACAAACCATACACAGACTGAAGCTAACTCTGGTTCTGCGTATTCATTTAAACATTATCTTACTACAATCTGTACAACTCTGCTTTACCTAAAATATACAGAGATAAGAAGATCAGTTTTTTTGGTAATTTTTTGTTTTGCCTTGTAATTCTAAAAGACCAAGATGAAGGCAGAATTCATTTTGTTTTCCACTCAGCAGGCTGGAAAGACGTTTTAATCGGCACAACGCAGCTAAAACCCGAGGCTCGCTGAACAAATCAGGCTGCAGTGGATGATGGGAAACAGGAGGGAGTGGACCGAAGACGCGATCAGAATGTCTTTAAGACGATGCGTCCAACCTGGTCGACCTTGGGGCTGGTGTGAGTGCTGAGTCACGCCGCACTCCTTCAGATGCACTCTCACTTTGTCCCCTCTCGGCCTTTGCAAATTTGCCAAATCCCTCCTTTCCTCTCCACCTTTTTTCCCTCTGCCGTCAGTTTTAATTTCCAAATAAAATACTGTGAGCAGGTTAGGCTGCAGCAAAGAGCGGGGGGATTACTTGCGTTTCTGCGGACCTGGCTTCCTGTCACCGTCGGGTTTTACGTTCCTGTCTTTCAGCCCGTGTTGTGACCTTTAACGGACTTTCAGATGGAGATGGATGGGAAGCGGCACCAGCATCAAATCTTAAAATGGATTTATCTCTCCAGTGCAGTCAAATGTGGAGTTTACAACCTCTTCCCCCACCCCTGGAAAAAAAAAACTCTTATTGAAGCTGATTTGCAGCAGCACTTACATGATCTGCACCCTACAGTGATGCTCTGCTTGTTCGGGACTGTTAAAATCTACATGAAATCTTTTGTCTCTTTGCAGAAACTGTGCGGCTGACAGGAGATAAGAGGGGACGCAGCAAGAAAAAGAAAACAAAGGTTCGCACTGTTGCTCTCTCTCCCCCATCGCACTCTGAACGCCTGCGGTACAGTTCTCTCGTCCGTTCTTTCCTTCCTCCCGGCATGGCCCCCCGCCCCGGGGCTGAGATCACATGACGGAGCAGCTTTTGGACTTGTCTTTGCTGAAGGTGGAGGAGAGGAGGTCCGTCTTGCTGGGCAGGTGGAGCAGTCTCTTGGAGAGGCGGCGGACCGGGCTGGGTTTGTCGGCGGGGTGGAGTTTGTTGATGCAGGCCTGAGCTGCAGTTCGGAAAACGCTCTGGATGCTCTTCTCCGACGTGAAGGCTGAGCACTCCAGGTAAGCCTCAGCTCCGAGCTGCTTGGCCAGTGACGTACCCTAAAACACAACAACAAAAGAAAAAAAAGAAAGAAAGAGACGATTTAAAACAAGACAAACAGAAAGAAACTAACTTCCTTTTGTTCGAATCCAGGCCAGAGTTTTCTCCAGTGATGAGTGCGGGCTTGGAGTTTGTGTTGAGGATGACTCTCAGCTACTACCACACCATATTTTAGCTTAAAACCTGTAAACTATAACAAGTTATAGCCTTTTTGTGTTGGCTGTCCGTTAGCTGTGACAACCATCTAAACCTTAATGAGATGCAGGTGTACTCCCAAAGATTATTTTCTTCATGTTTTTAATCAAATCTGCTGGTTTGTGAGATATTTTGCTAACAGACAAGCAGAGTTGACTGTAATAGTTAATGGCAACATTTTAAAAACAAATCTGGTGCGATCTGTGAACACTCAGACTATGTACAGTATAACTCTTAGCTACAACCACATCAAATTATAGCTCAATATCTAGAATGAGTCACAACCATTTTCATGTTGGTTCAGGTTGTTTGTGGTCGTCTCTTGAATGAGGTGCAGAAGTACGACTCCTGGGAATTTCAATAAAATATGTCCTCTGGTTTATGAGATATTTTGCTAACACAATAGCCAAATAAGCATACACAGACACAAAGATCTCCTTTTTTTCTTGCAAGTGATAACGAGGAAATACAAACCTGCTCGTATGAGACTGGAGCCTGTTTCTGATTGGACAGCTCTATGCGTGTGCATATGTCTGTGCGCAGGTCTGTCTTACAGCCTATAAGGAGGATCCGAGTGTTGGGACAGAAGTCCTGAATCTCTGCTTTCCACTGCACACAAAAAGAGAGAAACAAGTGTCAGAGTAGATATGACAGAGATCTAAGGCAGGCCATTTTAATATAAAATCGCCACACTTCCATTGCAGATATCTGAAACTGGTTTGTGACTAGACAGATTATTATTATTATTATTATTATTATCTCTAATTACATTCTGAACAGTATGAAGGACGTCAGCTATGCCATTAAGTTGTATGCAGGCTTTAATTTAAGATATCTTAGCAGGAATTTTGACTTGTCAAAAATACAGATCTAGGTATGGCTAAGTTAGTTTTGACTTGTCATTATTGGCTTTCAAGATATATCACTTTTTGTTCTGACTAAAGACATCATTATTCAAGATCCAGTATCTTAAATGTATTTTTAAATATCACGTACATATAAAGGTTTATTTGGTGCAAATTTTATTGCAGATATCTTGAAAGCAAATAATGAGTCAAAACTAACTAACTAACTGTATTTTTGACTAGTCACAGTTCCTTTTAATAGAGATATCTTGAATATTTTTTCATCTACTGTATATGACTTTTATATTTCAGATATCATGGAATTACCATTCTGACTAGTGAGAATGATATTCAAGATAACTTGAATAATTGTAATGTCACAGATGTAGCATTTTGATGTAAGGCATTTTAGTCTTACTAAACCACTAGCCTTACCGTACCTCTGCAGTGTCAGGTCAATCCAACTCTAATTCTGGTGTTTTTAACATGATTTTTATCTTTTCAACTCAACATGAATTGAGAAACACAGATAATTTATTGTTTGTCATTACAGCACGGCAAAGATCTGCAGGCAACTATTTGGACAGCTCAGTAGGGGGGTCTTATGTGCAATTTCTTTTTCAGATATCTAATGTAATCAGATAATGTAATTTTGACTAGTCATAATTATGTTTGAGATATCGATATGTGCGGCCCTTCAAGTGATGAATCAAGTGAGGTCATTTGAGATATCTTAAAAGGCTTTTTGACCCATCAAAATGTAATTGAAGATGTCTTGAATTCAGGATAGTCAAAACGTACTTGTTCCTTGTCAAAACTCATTTTTAGATATCTAGAATGTAATCGCAGGTAGTCAAATAAAGTCAAATTTATGTTAAAATGGCTTGCCATAAAGAGCAGCATGTTGACCGCCTCTGTGAAAGCATAGCCCCGCCCCCAGGAAAAGTTAAAAAATTTCCAACAAAGTGGGCGGTTCCAAGAGACACTGAGGGGCAAGGCCAAGTGTGATGAGCGAGGAGGTGTGGTCAGGACGAGGGAACTAGCTAACATTTCTGAGAACATTTCTGAAAAAGTGAAATTTCACGACTTACTTGCAAACTCACATTTAGCTGTTACAAACTAACCCGTAAAGTTCTGGCAACAGACTGTTAAAATGTGACTTTGGTGCAAAGCAGAACGGAGGATATTTTTTCATTTTTGTTTGTGTCAATGGTTCATTTGAAATTCCTAAGACAGCTCAGTCCAGGACTGACACGTCTTCTGTCCCACTGGGATCATTCAACAGAGAAGCTCTCATCCTCGGCTCTCTTCTGCTCCACCCCACACCCACACCACACGTCCACGGAGGTGGAGGTAGTGTCAGAGCCAGGCAGGCCGATGTGTGAAAAAACCCTGTGGTTCCAAGGCGCACCCCGCTTGTCGGGTTAAACAGATTTATTACCAAGGGAATATTGAAGATGATGCATAACAGCAACTTTAAAGTTTGTTTAAAAACATATTGAACACAAAGATCACTAATGTAAGTTACTTCCGTTCGTTTTTTGACACGAGGCACACGTCCATGCATCGCACTGCAATTCAAGCTCAGCTGATTTCTGCTCCACGCCTCTTTTCCTCCCTCTGCTGGGTTCATTTCTGAACTTGTACATGTGAGGAGAACTAGCAGAGAGTAACCATAGTGGGTTTAAGTGATGCTAGCAACATCATAGCTTATATCATGTTCAAAGCTGTAACAAATTTTCATCGAAGAGCTCGCTATTCCAACCACTGTGCCTCTGCAGGGGCATCTCTGAGAGAGAGGCTTTATATCTGAACCAGGAGCTGTATGTAAGCATGTACCAAGATGTACTGTTTTAACCAATAGGAAAATATAACTGCAGTAGCCACCGTTCAACCCATAGAGGGCAGCACTAGCACCTTTCTAGACTAAATGTTGCAGACTAAAACAAATTTACATGTAAATGTATAAATTTGCACAGAAATATAAAGATAATACCCTAAAGGCCCAATTTACAGTTTACTTGTAAAAAAGTTGATTTTGAGTTTAGTTCCTCTTTAAAGAGGACACCACCTGAAGTGGATCCTACCTTCTTCAGAGCTCCGTCCACAGTGTCAGGTCGGCTGATGTCGAAGCACAGCAGCACTGCGTCTGAATCGCTGTAGCAGAGGGGCCTCACGTTGTCGTAGTAAGGAGAGCCTAAAGGGACGGCAAAGATGTAGAATAAAGCAGCACAAACACCAACAAACAGCCTTTGTGAGAAAATAAATAAAAAAACAGCTTAAAAGAGAAAACTGTTCGACTGTTTCACAAAAAGTAAATGAGTCAGGCAGCTCAACTCTCTGTCCACTTCATTCAAAACAAGCCTCTGCTATCTTAAAATCATTTAATAAGATTTTATGTGATTTTTAAAGATTGTTTATTATTTTTATCTACACATAAATTTGGCTCCTGTTGCATTTTTACATTAAAGATTTTTTTAACTTCAGTCATTTAAGCTAATAAACACCAGTTTAGCCCACTGTTTTACTCCCATATGATAATTATGATGCTAATATTAATGATGATGGGCTCTAAAATATCACACACACACAGGTTTGTTTTTATATCCCCAATGGGACTGTGGATTGACTTCCTTTCATTTTCTGGTAATTTTATATCCTAAACCCCATTTACCCTAAAATTAACCTCACCGGTACCTGACCCTAAAACTAACCTAAGCTCAATTCACACCTTGGTCCTAAACCGAACCCCCAACCCACTAATGGCATTTAAACCAAATGGGGACTCGACTTTTGTCCCCAAATGCACCAGTTTTCCCCAAAGGTAGGCGTTTTGTTTTAAAATTGCCCCCAAATGCCACCAAACACACACACACACACACACACACCTATCAGCAGAGCAAACACAAGCTGATCTGTTGAAACTGTCTGATTGGTTTCAAAGAAAAAAAAAAAGAAAAGAGAAATCTGCATTCATCGTCACACTCCAAGACAATGATCCGACTGAATCCATAAAAAA